GAATAATTTCGGTGAAAAATAGATTTTTTGTGTAAAAATATTCTTTTTAATTATTTCTGAAGAATTTCATTTTCTCTTGAAAAGTAATCTCTGATTAGATTTGGTGAAAAATAGATGTTTTGTGAAACAATATTCTTGTTAATTATTTCTGAAGAATTTTATATTTTTTTGAAAAATATTCGTTGAACAGTTTTGGTGAAAAATAGATTTTTTGTCAAAAAATATTCTTTTTAAATATTGCTGAAGAATTTTATTCTTTTTTAAAAAATATCTCGTAGAACATTTTGTAAAAAATTACTTTTTTGTGAAAAAGTATTTCGTGGAATATATTTGTGAAAAAGTGATTATTTTTTAAGGGGCGGGAGGACGGACGAATTCACTGACGAACGAAGTTTGCTCATTCTGCGTAATACCCTCCTTTCAGTAGAGGTAATTAAATAGTTTCGACAACATTGTATATGCAAGCGTTAGTAATGTCAATACAACTCAAGTAAAGTCTTTCTTCGCATGTCAATCTTCAATTGCACCCTTCAGACAAGCTGTTTCATATTTTAAAAGAAAGTTTTTTTATGTTTTTATAGGCACTACCGTTTTTTTTTCCTTTTTTTTAATCAAATTCAAAAAAAGTGCGCAAATATACTACAATTCTGTCTGGTATTTCGTACTGATTTTTTTTGGTTTCACTTTATGTGAGATGATAGTCGATAGGCTTCTCTTTATTTATTCATTTAAAACAACTCGTATATCAGTATAATGACATGGATTAGTTATCGAAAAAGTTTTACTGAGTTTTTTTTGAAAAACTAAATTAATAAGAAAATAAAAGGTAAAATAAATAATTCATCTACTATTGATACTATTGAAGATTTATGCAAGAGCATCAAACATCACATATTGAGACTGTGAAGAAAAATAAATCACATAAAACACACAATCTTTAGTTTTAAGAAATATTAAAAATACATATTTCACTTATCGAATAGTCTTATTGAGAGAATTTGAAGTTTATCAGATCTGGATATTTGAATTTATTCTTAATTAATATTATACAGTAAAATGTGATAACCTGTCATGACAATACAACCATCATCACTTCTTCATTACTACTACCTCTGATTTCATTTTCAAAACCAGTTTCCAGTTAAAATATATTTTTCGAATTATTAAGAGCTATAGATAAATATATAAAGTTGATTTTAAATATTTTTCAATTAAATCTATATGATATTATTTAAAATACTTGTCATTTAGAATAGAATACGTGATCAAAAGTTGATATATTAATTGTAGAGAAAAAATGGAAGAAAATAAAAATTTACGCACTGAATTATTTTTTCTTTTTTTTTTATCAAAACAAAATTCTTAAGGATAGACGAATGTAATTATTTCAATATGTAACTAAGATTTCGGAATAAAATTTTAAAATTTTGAAAAAAAAAATAAACGAAAAATTCTCCTTGTTTGTTCTTTGATACAGGCGAAAATATATAATCTATATATTAGTTCTGTTTCTTTGACGTAAATGCATTAATGGAAAAAATGTTTTGACAAATTTATTATCTTAGTCTTCACAAGTAAATAGAAACGAACGATGTTTGTATTTATTTTAGACAGTCGTTTATATCTCAAAATAGAATATTTGTTTTTTGAAATCGTGCCACTTCTTTTCCTTCCATTGCTCTATTTTATTAAAAATGCGCAAATAAAAAAAAAAAAAGTCTCAGCAGCTATAGTATTTAAACCATAATTTTTTGTAGTTATTTCATTTTTTCACTACATAGATGATGTTGATCATGCGATTGCTTATAATCTTGTTAGTAGGTTTCAGTACTATTGTATATGGTACTCATTTTCGTGGTGGTACAATGACATGGTACGTAATATATATATATATATAGTCTTTTACTAATAGATCTTTTTTATTATTCTATTTTATAGGCGTCCTTTGAGTAATACTCCATCCGGCAGTACAGTTGCCGTCCAAGTGCGTGAACGATGGTCATGGAATCGTATTACTTATCCCTGTAATACTGCGACCATAGCTGCATATGGTAATGTCGGAGTCGCAGGTACCTATAATGTCACATGTGTTGATGGTAATTGTGGTAGTTGGACTAATATGGATGCAGTAGTAAACTGTACGGATTATAGTGCTGCACTTGTTGTTAGTTCTGGTGAACATTATGAGACGCAAACATTTCCATTAAATATCTCATTTAGTGTTAGTTTTTCATATAATCAATGGTTTGCAACTCTTGTTCGTGGTCCGAACTCGCCATGGAGTGTTGTCTGTCGAATCAGCACTGCTGTTAGACCCGATGGCTACATAAATTCCGGTCCTGTTGCTGTCAGTCTTCCTATTATTTACAAACAAATTAATATTCAACAAGTACATGTTGTTCAAATGTCTGACAATGATGGAACCGATACATTGCGATGTCGATGGGGAACTACATCAGGTAATATTAACAACGTCAATGAATGTAATAATGTATGTAATGGTGTTCCTAATGCTACTCTTATTGCGGATAATTGTACAATTGTGTTTACGCTTACAATGGCTGGCTGGTACGCTGCAGCAGCATTACAAATTGAAGATTTTTTTAGTACTACATCTACAACACCAATGAGTTCTGTTCCAATACAATTTCTTTTCTATGGTTATGCTGCACCTACCGCTAGTTGTACTATACGACCTAATATCACTGGTATTCTACCAAACCGAGGTAAATTATATATAACTTTATTATATATTCTTTCCACATGTATAATTGTTTGCTCCATTTTAGCTTGTATTGGTGTAAACATCACTTCCAATGTTACAACTTCTATCATGGTAGAAGTTTATTGTCCTGGACATGCTATTGTTGATTTAGTTAGTAGCGTTCCAACTGGTATGACAAAGAGTGCTATTATCCCTTTAAGTCCTAGTTAGTGTATACTATGTGTTTTATTTTGTTTCTTTCATTATTTCGTTACAGCCTTGTATGAAATCATTCTCAGCTGGGTTCCCATAGAACCTCAATATGGCCCGCAACCTGTCTGTGCTGCAGCTATCGATAATATACAACTCCAATCTGATCAATGGTGTATTACTTACTTAGTTGGCTTTCAATCTCCTCAAATCGTTCGTCCAACATTTGTTCAAGGTTCAGCATCACCACTTGGCACTGTCTTTCAAAACCAAAGCCTTTTCTCGATTCAAAGTAATACTTGTGAATAACTTAGGAGATATTCTCGATTAATTGTTTAATTCACTATTTCTTATATATTTAATTGTATTTAAATTTTGTTTTTCAGCGACAAAGCCTGTAAATCGCCCAACACTTAATGGTACTTTCATCTATTTCACAGATGCAACTGCTAATAATACACTAGTTCAGAAATTTGATTCTGGTTGGGACCCTAATGTCATATACACAGGTTATACAACTATCATTCGTTTTACAGTTCCACCATGGATTCCTGGACATTTTTATCATGTGACATTTGCTACTGGTATGTATAAGTTTATTAATCGTACACAGTATTTTCAGTTAGTATGTTATTATTTTGTTTGATTTAAGGTGTTGCTAGTGGAACTGAATTTTGTGGTAAGTAATAGTTTATTAATTATATCGATTAATAAAGAGATATAAGTTAAATGATGAATTGTTGATTTAAGGTCCTGAATCTGATGCGATTTCTGATCCAACATTTTGGGTATTTAATATTTGGGATCCAGCTGTATCATCTACAACAACAACTACTACTACTCCACCAACAACTCATACAGTTACATCCTTAGGTACAACCACTACTTCGATTAATACTGCAGTAAGTTTATATAAACTGACATTTATTCTTAATATAAATTTTTTTCGTAGTGTACAACATCTGGCATAGTGGCAACTACTTCAGTTGCTGTTACAACAACAACAACTATAACTACTACAATTGCAACTACAGCTGGTAAGAAAAATGCTATTACTTTTAATTGATTTATGTTATCAGAAAATTTCATATTCCATATTTCTTATTTTTGAAAATATTATTGTAATTCATTCACTTCTATCCTACAGGTCCAACAACAGCGGGTGTAACTACTGCAGGTGCAGTAACTGAAACTACCATTCCTGTCATGTATCCTCAGGATTTCGTAAGTTTTCAATTACATAAGACTTATATTTAACACATATATAATAGATAAATGCATGTGCACAACCAGTAGCAATTATGACTGTTGTTATGATGGCTGCTATGGTTCCTATACAAACCTTAGTAATGTATGCTGCATTCACAAAGTTTTACAATATGTTTAATCCATTAGAGAAAAAAGCACAGTTAAGACATGCACGACGACTAAGAAATATTAATATTAATCGACGTTGAACATTTTTTTTCTCTCCGGTGAACCAATGACATTTTTCCTTTTGGTTCGCTATAATTTTTCTTAAAAACCTATTTATCTTTCTTTAATCTCGCTTATTTTTATTTTGCATTTTTGACTTAAATCTTCGTATTCATTTTCTATTTTATTATTTTGAATTAAATCTCCGTATTCATTTTCTATTTTATTTTTTTGAATTCAATCTTCTTGTTCATTTTGCATTTTATTTTTTCAAATTAAATCTTCTTGTTCATTTTCTATATTATTTTTTTAAATTAAATATTCGTTTTCATTTTTATTTTATTTTTATACATGAAATCTTCGTTTTCATTTTTTATTTTATTTTTGACTTAAATGTTCGTTTTCATTTTCTATTTTATTTTTATACATGAAATCTTCGGATTCATTTTGCATTTTATTTTTTCAAATTAAATCTTC